TAAAGTAATAAAAATAGTACTTTTGGTATATTCTTTTCGATTTTTGTAATGCGTATATATCAGAATTGCCGCGTATATATTAGAATAAGCGAGGAACACGAAAATCGGACTTTTATTCAAATCTATCAAAAAAATACGTGCATCACTACCAACTTTTATTTAATAATTAATACCTTTAGCAATACAATATATTAAATCATTTATTTTCGATCTATATGACGTTTTTTTGAATTAAGGTTGTAGTTATTAAGATATTTGCAATAAACAAGTAAATTTGAATTATTTAAGACAGTTTTTGACCATTTTTTCATTACATTTCAATGTATTAGATTACCACAAATAAATGGATTTTTATAATTTTAATTCAAGTTTGTAAAGCAAAATTTTCTAAGCATTTAAAGATCTTTTTTTGATTTTTTATAATGATAGTTGTTGTTTAATAAGTGGTATACCGTTACTGTCCCGCCTTGCTGGGTGTCCCGCCTTGGTGGTACCTGGCTGCGCCAGGTCGGGATTTTTTACAAATTAAATTCAAGGTAACCGACGATTACCCCCTTTTTTTTTAGTAGTTATTATTTAATAAGTGGTATACCGTTACTATCCCGCCTTGGTGGAGCCGACCTGGCTGCGCCAGATCGGAATTTTTGACAAATTGAATTCAAGGTAACCGAAGTTCGTCTTGAATTAAAGTTTCAGCAAAATATGGAGGTGTAAGGGGTAATCGTAAACCGCATTCCTGCCTCTGACTAGTACTCCGACCAGGGGTACGATTAAGTTATATCACCGCCTTCGCTAGTTAAGAGGTCGGCCAAGGTGATTTTTGATCGTAAAATATTCTGCTATCGATTCTGCTATATAGAGCAAGGGTGAAGGCGGTAATATACTAATCCTATATAGTAGTACGTACTTCCGTAACGCTAAAGGATACGCTGCTGGAGAATCGATAGTCGATTCACACTCAAGGTTTTAAAAGCTTATAATATTAAGCCGACCGGACAGCCGCCTTTAACTTCCGATCTTAATCCGATTGACACAGTTTAAGATCAAATAAAAGATTATATTCAAGAGAATTTTCTATAGATTCATTAAATCTACTTTTGATTGAGAAATTTCATTCGAAAAGTATAAGAATTACTTAATGGAAATATTTTTTCTTCCAAAATTAAAACGATAAGACAGCGTTGTTTAAACTTACTAGTGTTGTTTTAATGTCTGCTGCGGGTCCTAAATGAAGTACCACGGTACAGGCGTAAGTATTACCCCTCGAGGATAGGGTAATGAAGGGGTTTAAAGTGGAAACCAACTTTTGAAGCATCCTCGAAGGATAATACTTAGGCCTGTACCGTGGTATATAGACGTGCCTGCGTCAGGTCCCGGTCCATATACTCTGCAGAGGAAGGCGATCTTACGTAGCGTTGTTTAGACGTAATCGAGGCGGAGAGGTAGTATACTCCGTACAACTTATTTGAATAAAAGCTTACGGAGTATTAGAAGAGCGAGAATACTACGTATATCTTCAAGCGGTAAGTATTTGCAGCGGGGAGTGGTAAATCGTCATCTCTCCACCTTTGGATCAGCGAGCCCCTTTTTTTTTGTTGGAAACTTTTCAAAACTTGTTTTCTATGATCGGCAAGGACTGAGAAAACGGTGCAGAATAAACACCCCCTGCCTCAACCCCATGCCTGTAAATTTTCAATTAATCGCCTCGGCCGCCCTTCCCCTTACCCCTTCTAAGATCCTGCCCTTAAGTGTCCGTTTTTTTAATGTGTCCACTTGCCTCAACCACTTAAGACTGTACTACCGGTACGTACTAAAGTAATAAAGTAATAAGGTCTGATCCCTGGTGGCCCTCCGCAAGCTCCGGGGCAGGTTTTAGCTTATAGCCGGGCTGATGCGTTATACCACGGTACAGGCGTAATTGTTACACCCTTCAGGGTGCCTCAAAAATCTAGATTTCCACTTTAAACCCCCTGGTTACCCTACCCTCAGGGGTGTAAGAATTACGCCTGCGACGTAGTACTAGTACCGTACCGGTACATTGTTTTAAAGCGTATTTCTTATAGTAGTACAATAAGGAATTGATGTAGCGTTAAATGCGGAAGGCAGCCTTGCACACGACTGGGGCCAAGCAAAATCCCTTAGCCCCGGAGCTTGCGGAGGGCAGCAAATTTTCCGGACTTCGCGGTATAATAGTCAGTGCACTGACTTTGTGACCTGCGGGCTCTCGGTCACAGTCAAGACAAGCAAGTGTCCCAGGTCAAGCAAGTGTCCCATTTCAATTATTTCAACTTGTATTAGAAATAACTTAGCAACGAATATTGCTATAATATTTAAAACTAGATGCATAGATCGGCGTAATCGAGATCTTTAAAAGTCTAACCAAGTATAAAATCTTTTCATTAACAATTTAGTAATTAATAGAATAAATAATGTTTGATTATCGATTGAATTTAATTGAAAATCAAATATTTTGTATTAAAAATTTTATATTTTTTAATATTAATCGTCTTTTGAATTGATTTTTAATATAAAAATTTGATATTTATAAAACTCTTAATCAAGCGGACTCGTACTATTTGTTTGTTTTATTATAACTTTTATAATTATTATTTTATTTAAGTTACAAATCTAGTCGAAAAGTTGATGTTCTTAAATTTTCGTTAAATTGTCCGAGCTTTTTTCGCTGTTATAATTGTAATTTTGCGTAATAAATATTATTTTACTTATTTTAAAAATGAAAAATATATAATATGTTTTATAAGTAAAGTATAATTCACTTATCTCGATTCGTATATCTAATTTTTATTGTTGTATCTTTTTTGTTATTGACTTATTCTTAATACAAATCGCGATTTTCGATTCTTTTCGATAAAGAATCAAAACCCTTTTTTTTTTTACGATTTGCAACTTAAATTACTTGATAATAAAAAGAGCTATATTGATAAAAATTGAATGCATTAATCGGCGGAATCGAGCTCTTTAAAGATATTAAATTTTTAATATCATAGCTTTATTCGTTATTAAGTTATTTCTAATACAAGTTGAAATAATTGAAATGGGACACTTGCTTGACCTGGGACACTTGCTTGTCCTGACTGTGACCGAGAGCCCGCAGGTCACAAAGTCAGTGCACTGACTATTAATATTCGTCGCTAAATAATTTAGAACAACAGGTTTTTTGCGCGCGATGCATTTTATCTACAGCAATAGCCCTTCTTCAAGCGTTGCAACAAGCACTTTTTCGAGCATATCTTTTCTTAGTATCAATCAGCTATTAATCAAGTATTCGAAAGAAGAAAAGTTTGTAATCGTCATTCTTAATCTCAAAAAGTGGATTTCAATTGCAAAAATGCAACTTCAGCTTATTCAACTCGCAAGTTTTTTTTTTTTTTTCCTGTTTTTTCTTTTTCTTATTTTTTTTTTCTTATTATTAAACGCTTAATCAAGTTTTCAATGTTCCTCGATAGCCCAAGCTTAAATGGATGCATCCAATCAACGTCACGATCGTGGGTCAGGTAACCGCATTTTTACTCAATAGTTCACGGGACCCACATTCGGCTCAACATTAGATTAGATTGCTTCGGCTATCAAAATGGGCGCGGAGTACCTAGCGCTGATCTCGACCGCCGAAAGACTCGGACTGTATTTATGCATATATATTAATAAATCTAGATTTTTAAAATAATACATCTACTGCGAAGAGTAAAAAAAAATTCGGAAGGGATGGAACAGCAATTGGGCTTACAGGAAGGTAAGAATCAAAGTCAAAATTCTCGATAAAATCCCCAGGGAGGTAGCGCACAAGCGTACCATTGATAGAGGGATCATCCATGATTTGGTGGGAAACAAAATATATTACTTCTGAATGAAAAGAAAAAAAAAAAAAAACGACGCGTTGATCGTACCATGGTCGGAGTACAGATCAAAAGCAGGACCCGCAACGGAGTCGCGATCAAATTATCAGGGCTTTACTTCGGGGAAACGCGATTAAATCGGTGTTATTACTCATAGAATCAGGAGCTCAGAAGGTGTAATAGATTCAGTATGAGAATACTGAGAGCTAAGTACAGGTGTTCCTAAGGGAACAGCCAAGAGCCAAGAGGCTAGTCCATACAAGGGAATATAGGCGGCAGTCCAATATTCCAACAATTACGATAGCCGAAGTGCTTAAAAGTATTTGAGCCAAGCGCACATTAAAAGAAAAATCGGACACCCTCAAAAGACAGACCTTTACGTATAAGGGGGGAGGTGAGATGAGGAATAGGGCGGTCCAGGCGGTTACTCGACTTACACGAAGCTTGGATCACTTGGGATTCAGGATATGGAAGTTGCGCAGTTACTGTATTTGAGCAACGGCTCTTGGCCACCAAGCATTCTTTTCGCGCTATCGCTTGCTTCACTTCTTCGGTTCTCTTGGGTTCCTGCTTCCTTCCCGTGATCAATAGTTTTGGGAAGCCAAGCCCTCCTTGAAGTGATTCTGTCCATTCGGTACACCTTAATTCGAAGATCACCCAGCTCTATAAGCTATTGCGGGAGTATAGCGGTCATATATCCCCATTTGCTCTAATCCATTACGGAAACTAGCTCAATCGAGCAGTACTTTTACAACCTCCGCTTTGTATCTTCTAACCCGACGGTCAGTAAGGTGGTAAAGGTATTGCTCGATTAAGCTAGTCTTCGTACTGGATCAGAATAAGCAGGAATACATGACGGGACATCCTCGAAAATCCTATTTCCCCTAGTGAAAGCGCCATTCTCGGCTTCTCGGGGTATAACCCTTACGCCTGTGAAGTTGTATTAGTAGTACGTACTACGTAAGTTCAAAATTGCTCACTTGCTCACTGTACCGCCTTCCTTATTCGTGCTGTGGGGCTGGGACAGTGAGGACCATGTTGAAGGTCTTCATGAAGGCTGCAAATTACTTAAAAGACTGGTGAGGTAGCTGTGCTGTTACCATCAACCCTCGTCCTACTCTTTTGTTTGTGTATCTGATCATCAAGATGTCTTTCGCTAAAGCTCTCATTCTCGCTACGGGTCTCAGTTCCGTCGCCTTGGCTCTGCCTGGTGTGAACCCGAGCGTCGGTGTCGAGACTCGAACGTTGGACGAGCTTCATCAGGCTGCGTTATCGGAAGGTGGAGTTGTCACTCTCGTACGTACCAATACTCACCTGCTACTTTCTACTTTGGTGTCATCATATCCCAGAGTTAGAAATGAGTCATCCGGAGTCGAAGAGCACAGGACGAATCCCAAATTTCAAAGCATTGCTGGAATGAAGTGCTAACTTTCCTCAAGTGGCACGGTGGAGACGAGATCAACCAGCAGGATAGCCTCAAGGCCGCGTTTGAGGCTCGTTTCCCTGGAATGACGTTGAACCTGACCGTGGATCTCAGCAAATACCTTGACGGGAACCTGGATCAACAGATTGCTGATAACAACATATATGTGGACAGCATAATCTTGCAAACACTACATGACTATCCAAGGTGGAAGGAGCAAGGCGTGTTGATGCCATACAAGCCTGCCGGGTTCGATAGTAAGTCAACAGTAGTTCATCATGTGACGAAGCTAAACGATGATAGGCGTTTACGCCAACTTGAAGGACCCCGATGCAACTTATGTCGGTCTTTTCATTCTCAATTGGGCGAACTGCTGGAACGTCAAGGGGCTCGCGGACGCAGGAATTACTGCTCCTAAGGAGTACACCGACTATTTGAAGCCTGAGTTCAAGGACAGGCTAGTCCTCATCTACCCCAACGACGACGACGCGGTCTTGTACCAGTTCGATCTCATGTGAGTACCAGTTCGACAGACATACCCAGCGTCCAATATTGATGGTCCAAATAGCATTAAGCAATACGGCGTCGCCTGGTTCGAAAGCTTGCTCGCCCAAAACCCAAAATGGGTTCGAGGAGGCGCTACCCCATTCGCCACCCTCCGACAAAACGGCACTGAAGTCGCCACCTTCACCGCTGTTCCCCGCGTGGGCGTCGACGGCGTCCTGAACGCCCAGTACCCTGCCGAAGGCCAATTCGTAAGCTGGGCTCAGACCGGTTCCATCCTCAAAAACGCACCGCATCCAGAGGGCGCCAAGCTTCTCCACAACTTCATGCTGAGCCCCGAGTTCTTGACCGCGAGAGGCGGATGGTCGACCCGCGAGGATATGGATGCGCCAGCTGGGTACCCAAAGATCATGGATCACAACGCAACGGACCCCACTGCGTTTACGGCGTTCATGAGTGATCGGGCTGCGGTCGAACGTCTGCGCTTCTTTATCGAGTCGAGGATAGGTATTCCTCAGGGTCCGTCCCCCCTCGTTGACGGTATCTAAGACATGTATCTCTTGTCTGAAATTCGGGCGGTGGGAAGGAACGGTGCCACTTTGGAGTGTACGAACTTGATTCGATTTCCCTGTCCATATTAACTAGGTTCAAGATCTACCTTCTTTCTTTCCCAAATTTTGACCAAATATGGAAGAGAAAATCTCCCCAGGGGCTTTGGCCCATTCAGATCTCCCGAAGCTAAGCTTTACGGACAGCTAGCCTTAATGTCTTGTGCAGGGATCCTGCCTCATACCTCTTCCACTCTCAACTCGAACGTTTTTCGGGCACTCGGCTAAAACACGAACCATGCCAGTTTCCCAAATGAGGATCAAGGACCACAATAAGTTAAAATCAAATCAAAGCTCTGTATAAACATTTCTAATCCATGTTATAAGACCGAAGTTTGTCTCAGGAGTATCTGTGAATCGATAGTGGTGTAGTGAGCAAGTGATAAGGGCTTTGTCATGCCATGCGTGAGCTGGCCAACTATATAGTATCGAGGTAGAACCTATACAGCATGGCTGTATACTGTGGTCTTTGGATCCGATGGCCGAGTGGCGCGAGATCTGCCCGCACTCGTGACAGGCTTGTACACGACGTTGGAAAAGGGAAGGGGAAGGGATGATGCCACTCAAGATATCAGAGTAATCAGTATATGCTTTAGCCTAGATCGGATACTTACTAGCATGTGCTTGAATATGGGCCCAGCAAGCTTCTATCAATGCAAGGAGGCTTGGACTGGTTGTTATCAGTATGAATTCGTAATTATGCATTTCCCCTTGCCACCTAGTCACTTGTTATATTCCTACTACAGTATTTACTCGAGTATTAATTATCCTTTACATTGAAAGTATATAGGTAGTAGACAGGACGACTAATAACATTCCGACACTACTGTTCACTTTTTACTGAATTACAGGCTCGTTACTAATACGTATCCCCTCCCATGAATAAATGTCGGACCCAGTTTAGCTCTACAACTCGTAGAGCGATGATTACATTACTGAATGGCTTAAAGCCCTGTCACCTCCATTGCACAGACTAAATACCGGCTCAAAGATACTTTGCAAGGCTGAATGAATCCTTATAGTAGTACTACCGGTAAGTTGATCGGTTCAAGACGTGGTAAGATCCCTTGCAGAATTATACTTTCGGTATGTATTCATGGGGAGGGGGGGAGGGGGGGAGGGGGAGGGTAAGATTCTAGCTCTTGTCGCTTCGCTGCCAACAGTATTCGCTTTTGTATATAAACATCAGTAACCGCTAGGAAACACAAGAAGTTGAGCGATCCATCCGGAGCAAATAACTCTCCCGAGAAGTTCCAGTCAGACGATTCCCAACCTCTTTTTAAGAAGCAACGCCAAATTCTGCAGCGGGAACTAGAAAGTGTATTGGGAAGAAAAAAAAAACCACAGCCCACCAGCAGCGAGGTTTCAAGAAGCCCAAGACTTCCAGCGCGAGCGAGCAGATAGTTGAGTAGTTGACAGGGAGCTGCTATATGACAATACTCATTAGAATATCCTAGAATGATAACATCTACCCGTGACAGCAGTAATTTTGAAGCTGACATGAATATCTCGCTGGGCGATAATAAGAAATTGAAACTATGAAACTTTAACTAGTATTTTTTCTAGGGAGAGGGGAGGGGCGGTTTCATTCATCCACTTTCCGAATACAGTACCTATCACGTACGTAGTAGCTCCCGCAACTTCATGAGTGACCCTTAAACCCTTTCTTTACCTCATGAGCTTTATACTTTGGTCTTGAAGCTGCTTGCTTCACCGGCGCAACTTTAAAACCAGCCATGAGATCCGTTTCAGAAAAGGTGAGTTTAATTGCACCTCCCTCGCGGAGCCGGCTGGGCTCAGGGCATTCGCATCCTTGTTGGGTGGAAAGGTACTACGTAAGAACGATATCGCGACGACGTGCGTGCCAGACAAGGCGAGGACGTTAAAGATACTTGTACTAGTTGGATTACACATCATGCTGGCCCACGACCTGAGCTTACGCGCGTCTTGCTGCCCTTTAGCATTCCCGCAATTTGGGATATATACTACCTTCGTAGAGCCACCTCAAAACCAACACAGGGCGATCGAAATGCCCGGAAATTTCTATGAGAGGGAGGAGCTACGTATGGAGCGCAGATCCCCAGATCTCAGCTGGGTCTGGGGACTGGGGAAATACAGTTCTCCGGAGACAGACACGTTGTGGCCAAGCGCGAGGTGGTGCACGACTGCACGTAGAAAGTTTTTCGACGCGAGAGGCCCTTTCTCCTAGAGAGTAAGTAGTAGTAGTAAGTACGGAGCCTAGGTTTACCAGGAGTCCTGGTTAGGCTCTCCCACCACCAACCATACTGTACAACTGCCGGCCAGAAACTGCGACCAGTCTCGCCGAGGCCCATTCCGCGCTTCGGGCATTGCTGGAGAACACAACACGGGCGCTTGAACAGGCCTGCTTGAACAGTACACCTCAAAGCCAATCAGTGGCAAGCCAAAAATTCCCCGACACTTTTATAAGTATTGACATGCTCCAAACCTCCTACCTGCGCACGTCGTTCCTTATCACCGGAGGGGAAGAGCGCTTGCCAGTCTACCAGAGTTTGAGAGCGTTGCTTGCTGAAACCCCAACGGGACATCTCCCAGCAGCACATCGACACCTGCAACATCCAATTCTCACTCACATTATAGAATTAAAATATACATATATATATTTTTTTCCTCATCGAATCTCAAACCCTACACACACCGCCCAACAATCTCCAACTCATCCATCACTCACAATTTCATCCAACAACAACCACCCCGATCCTTCCAACCGATAACCACAACCCCCCCTCAAAGACACACAACCCCCCCCCCCCCCTCACGCAGAAAGCCAAAAGTCGAAAGCAAGTGCCAAAACATTCTCATCATGCAAAAGCCGTAGCGTAGATAATCCAATCCAATCCAATTCCAAAAGGAGGGGGGGAAGGGTCCCTATCCACTATTCCTCGCTAAGCGAAAAAAA